CCAGGCTTCCCCTCACAAGCTTCCTGGGCTCCATACTCCACCCCCCCCACCTCTGGCCACCTTCCCCTCTGTCCCTTCTGGCTGGTCCAGGTAACTAGTCACCCATGCTCCCTTCTCTATCCCTGCCCTGTCATGGTGGTCAGCTCTCAACTCACTCCCAACTGATGAATACTTCTGGGTGTATGGAAGGGCAGTGCCCAGGGCCCACAGGTCCATCTCAGGGGCCACCCACCTCTTTTTTGTCCTCAGCTACTCACCAATAATGGAGGTTGTAAGAATCCCCTGTGGGTAAGATCTCTGCACGGTTCCTGTGTTTAAGGAAGCTATAATAAGAGAACAGGAGAAAAAAAAAAACTAGAAAGCTGGGTGCCCCACCTCTCATTTATCTAAAGATAAGCCACATGATGTCTGGGCCGGAGACAGAGAGGCCAAAGGTAAGAAACCAACCCTTCCCTCCTCTTGGACCCAGGAAACAGGTAGGAGATAGATATTCACCTGGTATATATTCTAGGTGAGTTTGGGCTACAGAATGGTACAGAACAAGGGATACTGAGCTGTGAGTTCGGAATAGAGAAATAGAATATGGGTACCAACCAAGTGACCGCAGGTAATGGCTATGGCTGTGCCAAGGATATGACGAGAGAGACCTCATGGGAAAACCAGCCCCCCAGATCCCATGGTTGGGTAGGGGGGGACACCAAAGACTCAGGGAGCAACAGCAGCAAACATCTGTAGGGAACAGACTGGGCAGGTAAGGAGGACTCAGCTCCGCTGCCCACATCCTCCCTCAAGAGAGAGGCATCACCTGTCCTCTCCACCCACCTCCTCTAGGATGAGCCCTCCGGCCCCACCCCAGTCCTCAGAGACAACCACCTGGGTGAGCCCAGCCTGTCTTCTGGCCCCTGCCTCCCTGAGTTCTGAAAGAACAATTAAGGAGATGGTAATGGCGGTAAAAAATTAACAATAATCAAACGGCTACCATGTGTTAAGTATTTACAACGTGCCAGGCGTTGTGCTAACACTCACAACAGCCCTACGAGGTAATATCCCTATACAAGAGGGGAAGAGACTGAAGCTCAGAGAAGTAACCTGACAAGCCACAAGACTAGTAAGTGACGGACCTAGGATTTGAACCAATTGCTGTTAATGTGCCCCAGACCTTCACCCTGACTGCGCTCCTGCAGATCCATGCAAGCTCCCAGGGTGCCCCAACCCCAGGACTGAGCCCAGGTGGCTGCATGTCTCCTCCCAGTGCGGTGTGGGCCTCCCTCAGGGGCAGGTAGGGAGGCTGGGGAAGGGACTAGGGCAAAGATCCTGCACTCTTCCTGATATCCACTTCCAAGGACACTGTGATGCTGGGCCAGGGCCAGAGAGGGGCCGAGGCTCCAGAGGGAAGCTGCTCCCTTCTACCTGGACTATGGGCCTGTCCTGGGGACAGCAGATGATACTGCACAGAGCACGAGGTAAGGACTCCTCCCTTTCCCGGCCATTGGAGCCTAAATATGTCCTGAGGGGTTACCTCTTCCCCTCCCACTCCCACTTAGGGCCGGCAGGGGGAAGCGGGAAGATTCCCCTGAAGACACAAAGGCCCGGAGGAGATGTAGCCCTCCAAGGGAAGGAGGAGAAGTGAAATGGGGGAGGAATTCAGAGGAAAGGACTGAGCACCCCTTGGGACTTTATGAAGCCATTGTTGAACTGACCCCTCCCTGGCCATGGCACAAGCCATCCCTCTGCCAGCCCAGCCTGGCTCAGCCAGCCTGTGGAGCCCAGAGGTGTTAAGTCCTGTCAGAGGAAGAGCCAGGATGCTGCTCTCTGGCCGGCTTGCTTGCGGCCTCGGCCAGTTCTCACAGCCCATACAGCCGCTCCAGCTTGCTCTGCGGGAGGGAGGCAGCGGGAGGAGCAGCAGTCCCAGGGTCCCTCCCACCATCCGAAGGGTCGGACTGATGCTCCCACAATCCCATCCCCCCAACTCCGCCCTGCCTCCTCCCCCAGAGCCCTCCAGGAAGCAGAGGCCAGACTCAGGCGAAACAGGAACACATCGTCCTTTATTTGTGTTTTTCAGAATACTGTACAAAGGGAGTAAAAATCCTATTCACACTTTGCTTAGAAAGATTTTGAGGTGAAAGTTCCCTATGATACATGGGGTGGGGGTTGGGAGGACCAGGAGGCAGAAAACAGGGCCCAGTGACCTCCCCCGCTCCCTCAGGGCCCTGGCACCCACACTTTCTCGGAAGTAGCACAGACCCAGTCGGATTAGGGAGGAGAGAAAGCGCCTTCTCTCCAGCCCAGGCTCCTGCCCTCGCCTCGTTTCCTCAGCCTGAGGAGGCAGCGCCTGCAGGTCACTCCTAGCTCCTTCCACTGTCCTGCTTGAGCAGGGACCATGCAGGACTTTGCAGCCCACCAACCATATCTGGGGAAAGCCTGACAGCCCCACGTGTGCATGCCACACAAGAGACCCCGGCCCGGCGCCAGTCTGCACAACGTTACCAAGGAAAAGGCTGCAGAAGGGCCCCACCACTCATCATTTCTGTCCCAGTGTCCCCATGCCCCTCACACCACTGTAGACAGTGTCAAATTGGATCCATGCTTAAGATGACTCATGAGCCTCTTCCACCAACCTGCACCAAGCCAAGCCAGGAGCTTCAAACCCACAGCAGCTTCCCTTCCTATTACCGCCACCATGCTGTGGGTGAATGACTCCTCCAAGCCTACCCGCTCCCTGACCACTTTCCAAAGAATGAGGCTGGGTCTGTCCCATCCCTCCCCCCATCACTTACACCAACCCCTGCTGCTATGTGGCCCCACTCTTCTAAGTCCCAATTTACCATCCCCACCCCTTCCCCAAACCCCCTCCCCACCTCCACCAGGGCCAGGATGGCTGCAGCCTTGGCCCCCTCACCTCTGGGACCAGGCCATCCACACCCAGCCCCACATCCTTCTCCTTACCCTCCCCACCCCTACCTAGCACCCAGCGTGAGCTGAGTTGTACGGGAGCTGTCTGACTTGGATTAGACAATACTCTACGCGGAGGGATGAGGCACTGTCCCACACTTGCTTATATATAAGCGCAAACTGAGTGTCATCCTAAAGACATAAGAATTAAAGTGAAACAATCTAGAAGCTGTACCGTCCCCTCTGCTCCCCTCACAGGGGTTAAAGTGCTTCAGCAGTCTGAGGATGAGCCAGCGAGCAGGGGGTTTCCCTGGCCTCCTGTCCCAACCTCGCAGGTCTGTGTTCAGCGCAGGAGCCCAGCCCATGCCATGACCACCCCCACCAAGTCTCTAACCAAAAGGCAAAAGGGAAAGATCAAAAAATTCAGAAGGGTCAGAGCCCCAGGGGGGCCCACCCCAACCCACTAAAAGCTACTTCAAGTCTGCTACTGGGGGAAGTGAGGGGAAAATTAGTGCCCAGAGGCTCAACCCCCATCTCTGGAGGTGCCCAAAGGCTCCATCTGTCTTCAGCATCGCAGCACAGGCATCTACCCGTCCCCTGCCACGCCAGGCAGGGGAAGGGGCTGCACCCTCAGTACTTATTGATTCCAAAAATCCGGACTCCATGGAGCTGGGGCAGCTTGGGGATGAGCACGCTCATCAAGGACACAGTGTTGAGGATGAAATGGATCTGGTCGTACTTGGTATAGAAGCTGGTGAGGAAGTACCTGGGCAGGGCAGGTTGGGAGAGGTGTAAGACTCTGTTTGGGAGACCCCTTTCTCCCTCGCTCCCTGATGGGGAGGGGCAGGTTCCCGACAGCCGAGGAGTTCTGGGCAAGACCCCGGAACAGAAGTAGGGTGGCAAGATCCCTCCAGCTAAAGAAGCACCCGCTGACCCCGTCCCCTTGCTCTACCCAGGCCTGCGGACCCACTTTACTAGCAGGAAGGAAGCCCCAGCCAAGGATAGGCAGGACCAGGGAGGCACAGGCCTGAGCCCAGCGTAAGACCCAGGGATACTGTGACTTCCCCTCCTCTGCTCATTCCTATGCCAAGAGCCAGAGCTGGTGAAGAGTTTAAGCCTTGCGGGGCCCCAGGTCCTCCTCTACCCAAGACACTCACAGCACGATAGGTGTGATGGTCAGGAATTTCCGAGACGCCGTGAACTGGACCCCATAGTCCATCTGCTCCCAGTGGGTTAGCAACCTCGCCTTGCCCTGGTCCGGGGTCTCAAACGGTGTCCCTTTCACTGTGTGCAGGAAGATGTACATGCCCTGGAAGCAGGGGGATCCTTCGTTAGAGGACACAAAAGGTCAAAGGCTCTCCAGCTCAACTTCTCCACCCCAGTCATAGAAGTGGGCTCCAGGTGATCTGGAGCTCCTCTCTGCTGGGCAGGGGGATGTGGGCTGGAGGTCAGGCTGGAGCAGCTGGGAGCCTGGCAGGAGAGTGAGGAGACCCACTGGGTGAGAGGGCAGGCCTGGCATGAGAACTCATGGAGAGGAGGCAGCTACAGAACCAGCAGGGAGATGCCGCCCCTCCAGCCCGGCGGTGGCCTCCCTGTGCTAGCTGGGAGGGGACAAGCTCAGAGGAAGGAACTGGGCCCCTGTTTTCCCACCAAAAGAGTACCAGGTCGCAAGCAGGTGGTGAGGGAGCAGAGAGGGGCAAGAGGGGTAGACGGTTTGAGATCCTAGCTTCGGAAAGAGGTATTTCTACCCTAGGCTAGGCACCTGGGTCCTGTGGACTCTTTGGGGCCCTTAGTTCAGCTCTCAAAGCCCATCTTCGAGGTCCACAAGCTGCACCGGCCCCCCTAGACCCTGGACATATCTGCAGACTTTATTCCAATAAGAGGAAGTAGGGCACAGAGATGAGAGCTGGGTCTGGGCTCTGGTGACTGCTGTTGTCAGCCTGTCACGCTGTCATCTGGCCCATGTCTAGGGGGGCTCCTTCTACTTCTCGGCCTCGCCCAAGGGCAGGCAGCAGGCAGGCCCTCACCATGTTGTGGATGAGGTTGGTGAGGGTCCAGACGACGGGGACGCTCACAAAGGGGATGCTGAGCAGCACGACGTGGAGAAGCCCGATGGCCAGCACGTAGGAGAGCCAGATGCCGCGGCTGTTCATCACCCGCGTGTTGGGGTTCACCTCGCTGTGCGCCGTTCCCACATTCATCCTGCTGCCCCTCTCCTGCCGCTGTTCTGCAAACAAGCAGCACAGGTGAGACGGGTCACACCACTTTCCCTGCCCCCTCACATCCTCCAAATCCTGCTCTCCCAGAGAATTCCAAGCTCTTCTACCGTCTTGAGTCTCCAGTGAGGAGGCCAGAGAACGTCCGTGTAGACTTAAATCTGTTCATTTCCCACCGCTGGACTGGGATAAACACCATCCTGCTCCACACATCATCCAATCAGGAAAGTGCCCTTCCAGGCACTGGGACTGCCTGGGTGGTTAGGTCATCAAGAGGCATTCAGCCCCAGAGCAAAGAAACCACTGCCCGTCCCTCAGTCTCACCCTCCAGAGGGCTCTCTTCCCACAAAGCCCAGTGGAGAAGAGGCCTGGTCCCTAAGCATCATTCAGTGTAACCCTGCTGGACTCCGTCTCATCGAGGGTCTGATATGGGACATCTTCTACTCCTGAGCCCCCCACCCTCCCTTTCAGAAGGAATAAAAGGAGGTAAGAACATGCAGTGGTGGGTGAAATATTTGGGGGTCACTGCTTCTACCTATCCCTCCGAATTCTCCAGTCCTGGGATTTCCCCCAGCCCTGACCCAGGCAGAGAAGAAAGAGAGGAAGGGAAGAAAAGAGAAAACAGACGAGAGACAACCTTTGCCCAGACCTGGAAGCCTCCTTCTTGGTGACACAAAACCCATCCAGATGTTTAATCCATTTGGCAGCCACTCAGTCTAACCCTCGTGATGCTACTCACTCTGCTGCCAAACCACCATGGCCCTTTTCCCCACTAGAGGAGTGGCAAGGATAGAGGACGTGGCCAACATCTACAGCTCCCACGGGTGCCTGGAATCCATATCAACACACCTCTCCCAAGGACACAAAAGCACACCTGTGGACTCACTCCTTGCCCCTTTCCTCTCTGTCTCCTCATCCTCACCTCAGCCTCCTTTCCCCTGCACCTGTTTCCAGGTGTAAGTTAGCACCATACGTTCCCTGCCCAGCTCCAAGGGTAGAAGTCCTACAGCAGGAGGAACCAGGAGAGCTGCCTTTGATGCCCAGGAAACAATACAGCCCAGTTGCATTCCTGGATGCAGGTAAGGAGGGGAGGGAGCAGTCCCTTGTCCAGAGCTTAGCTGTCCCCAGATCCCTGAGGGCCCTGTGACCAGCAGGAGGTGGGAACAGATGGCATCTTTGTACTGGCTCACCTCCGTAGCTGAGGGAAGATTCTGTCTGATAAAGGCCCTAAGGTCATCACCATGGTAACAGCCCACCTTCCTTGAGGATGTTAGAAAGGAGTCCCAGCTGAGGGTATCCTGAAGTGCCCAGAAGGCCACCTCCTTCACGCTGCTGAAACAAACCCCCTCAGACTCAGGTGCCCTCTATCTCTGGCTAGGATCCCAGAGCCTGTCTAGGAGCCGGAATTCTCAAGGATCAGTTCCCTACTTCCAGGATAATGGGAACAAGTTCCTTCTTCTCAGGTGGCACCAAGCTTAGAGACCTCAGGGGAAATGTGACCCAAAACACACCTTCCCAACATACAAACACACATGACATGGCCAAGGGTGCATCCCAGAAGTAGTGATGCTCCTGGGGCCCATCAGCCCAGCCCATTAAGCTGGATAATTGGGCCCAACAGAAACCCAAGGAACTAGAAAACTGGGACTGGTTCAGTTGTTTACCTTCCAGGGCCTTAGGGCTTCAGTTACCCTAACACAGCTCCTGGGACATTCAAAAGCCTCCACTTGGCAGGAGGAGGAGGGGGAGACTGGCTAAGAAGTCTGGGAGGGCTCTGAAAGACTTAACTACTGATTAAGGAGAGAGGAAAAAGTTCCCTAAGTCTGACCAGAAACTGCTGCCCCTCCCCGTTTCTCCCTACCCTAGACCTACCAGGGTATAGGAGTAGCCAGACCTGTAGCCCTCCTAGTATTCTGTCCAGGAGCGCCAAGAGCCTTGCTGAGTCCCAGATCATCCTACACTCCTTTCTGGCTGTAACAGGGCATCCAGCGAAGTCTGATCAGTCTAGGAGGGATCCAGACCTTTGACTTAACTGACCACCCTGGGAAGCTTCTTCCTGTAGCCTTCCTGAACACTAGGTGCCCTGACAGCAGAAAATCCCAGGAGACCCCCCCCCAAAAAGACAGAAGAGGTCAATAAATTAAGAAAAAGACTGGTAGCAGGAAGCCCTCTTGAGACTTTTGTGTGACTAAGGGTACATATCACGTCCACTAGTATAATAACCAATTGCCCCCGGCCCGGAAGGGGAGAAATGGGGAGAAGCAGCTGGCAGAGGTGGAGTAAGTGTACAGCAGCTGAGGCAGAAAAGTTCTGCCGCCATAGCTGGCAGGTGGCTGCCCGTGCCAGTCCCTGACGTGGTTTCATAACCTGCCTCAAACCAGAGCCTGCAGCAACTCTGTTCTGTTAACTACTTTCTTGCTGGTAGCGCTTTCCTACTCCTTCTCTCCCTTCCCCTCTGGCTTCCTACACAAATATCCCTGCCCAGCCTGTCTGACACCTAAGCCAAGGCCACAGTGAGAGCAGCCAGATGAGCGCTTCCTAATCTCTCCCCTAAGCAAGGGCAGCAAATCTTTTGCCTTCTGGGTGAGCAGCACAAAGCATCCAAGCCCACAATCTGGACCCCAACGAGGAGTCCCTGGCAGCACGCCACAATGCCATGTTTATTCTGCCCACCCCACGACCCGCAGGGCCACAGTGGCTCACCTCTCAGCTCTGGCCCTGTCTCGAACTCGTGAGGACGGTGAGAATGGAAAGGCGGCAAGTACAGGAGCGAACCCAGACTAGCATCGGGAGAGAGTGAAGCGAGGAGAAGGAGTCCTCACTATTGTTGGGGTTTTCTGAGTGGGACTTCAAGCCGAAGGCGGGGGGGAGGGGGGCTCCGCTCCGTTCCCGGGCTGGGACCTCCCACTCGGAGCTTGGCCAGATCCGGAGCCCCACCCCGAGCCCCTACGCGTTCACCCAGCCCTGGAAGAGGCCAAACCTTTATCCCCTAAGCCCAGCTGCTCCCCGCCCCCCACCCCCAGTCCGAGCGCTCCTCCGCGACGCCCCGGCCTCGCACACTTTCTTTTCCCTCTAGCCATCCCTTCGACTGACGTACCCCCCTCCTCGGCTGACGCACCCCCTCCACCTCCGCTCATACAGTCCCGGTCCCCTCCAAACCCGGGCGCCTCCCCAGCAGCCCCTACCTCCTTCCCGGCCCGCTTCTAGCCTCAGGAGGCTCCCGGTTCATCCACTCCGAGGCTGCCTCTCCGGACTCACGGTGCGGGGCCGGAGGTCGAGGGCCCGGGAGGGGTGCCCGGGGGCGGGGGCCGCTGCTGC